GACAAGCAATGTAGGTCAGTGTGTACCAGTTGTTTCTTTATTTCATTACTAGCATTCCACAATATAAAAGAAAAAAATAGAATTTCATTCTGGGGTTTGGCTGTCTTAGAGACAAAACAACAATTTAGGTTCCCAGCCTAGAAACAATAGTTATTGATTAAATTAGAAAATTCTGAGCTTCAGACATTTAGGACTGCATGTGTCAACTCCTGGAAAGGTTCTTTTTTGTAACTCTCATGTAAACGATTACAAAATTTTAAGAGCAAAAATGTTTCCATGTTTTTAAAAAATGTCTCCCCCATTTACCATTTTATGTCAACTTGTCAATTTATACCACACACGGCTGGGCTACTGGATGTGGCTTACAATTGTGTTTAAAATGAGGTGCCACACTCGTTTATAGAGAAAGTATCACTTCTTTTGTGTCCGAGTACTTTAAAAGTACATGTCATTGTGCCGCAGTGTTGCGACGAGCAATGTAGGATTTCCTACATGAGGTGATTGTGAGCAGACCTGATGACCAATCTCCACAATTCCAAGGGCAAAATACACAGGAGACACTGCCCTTACTATCAATACCACAACATCCCCTCAACTCACTGACAGAGATGTAAGAGTGGTGGAAGTAGCCCAGTCTAATGTTAAATGGGTCAACTTAGTAGCTTTTTGACTTTTGAAGACTATTAATATTATTTCTAAGCTTTGCAACTTTGCAGAGATTTAAGTTAAGGTGTAAACTCTCCTCTTTCCAAGTTTCATCTCTCCGTCTCATCTCAAAGTGATTTTCACAATTTTTTTTTCTGCCAGCAAAGGTAAAAAAATCATTTTTTGTCAACTGCAACTGGAGCCTGTTTTACCTAGAACTACATAACAAAATAAGAAATGTAATCCTGTTATATCAAATGTGGGCTCCATTCAACATTTCTAGTTAAGTCAAAAGTAGACCAACCTGACAAGGTTAGAAGGTCACACTGTTTGTAAGGAAATAAAGTAATCTCAGCCTGGCAGCTGTGCACTAGTCATCTTAAACGAATCTTCCTACTAAAACGCGCACCATAAGATGTTTAACCCTTTAATTCTTAACACCACTACAAAAATGTTCACAAAAGTTAGGAAAAGTGTATAGAGCACATATTTGAACTAAACATAACATAATTTCCGTGGCCGAATGGTATCGTGCAAATGGTCCACTGAGACGTGGAAACATGATAATTAATGCCTGGTGAAGTGTTTCACCTGATATAACATTTAGGTTTGTTTACAAACTTTCATTTATACAAAAGGGGCAGACGACAGGAGGATACTCGGCAGGTCTATCGCCTGTGCTGGCTACATGCACAGGGCAGGATTACGGTTGCAGCCTCGGCGTCCTCGTCAGCAATACCCCGCACACTCGCGCTGCTGTCGATACACCCTGCGACGATCTGTTCATGTAGCTGGAAACTGTATTAGGAGACCATTCTAACTGTTTTGTTAAGGAATACCTGAAAGACTTTTCGAAACATGCAACAAGAGA